GACGATGAAATGTTTCGGTGACATCATATCATAATACTGTTATGGTTTACAGCTGAATATAGACGTATTTATAGCATCGACGTCTGTTAAAGAAGATTACCGAAAGGAAAGGCATCCACATATTATTATTATTATTATTATTATAGGGATTCCGGGTGAGTGGGACACGTGTTAAGCTGTAGAACTTATAATACATACGCGTTTTCATACATACACAAAAATTGATCCATAATATTATACACATATATTGGCCTCACCAATCGTACATCACTGTCATCAAATTCTCGCCRTTTCCCGAATGATAGATTCGACCACTTAATATTTATCGGCGGTCCCAGCAACGACGATGTAATGTTGTTTGAACTCGTGTAAAAAATTGTTACCTCGTCTGCCGTGGGTTTTCGTTCTCGCGTCGAACCTCATCCCCAACCACCCACCACAATTTATTGCATGTTTATTTGCTCGCTTGTTAGGCATACCTACGTGCACGCAGCAGAATTTATTTCAGTTCCATAAAGGTGGAATCGGACGACGTGGAAAAAAAGAAAAACTATTCACGTCGTTTTCATCATCATCGTACCTACGTTCGATATCGTTTAGTCACGGTTAGCAATCAATTTCAGTGTTTCAATCGTTTTGTTCCCATTTGATTTTTTTTTTAAACCCTTTAAAAATGACTTTCAATCGTATTTTTTTCTTGGATTTATGTGCGTATTATATTAATATTATAACACCAACATTAGCAATAGATTCAAATATCTAACGGAATACCAAACAATATTACAGGCTATTTAAAAATATAAATGTATTAAGTTAATGGAGATGAATTATTTATACTTGAAATTAAAATACCAAAAAATCTATATCAATGTTTGCAGTAGTTTAATTATCTAAGGGCCTTTATGCATAATATCCATRATTTATTAAGTTTTTAATATTTTTTGGGTGGTTCCAAGTTCCAATAATTTAATTGTTTCAATATATTCAAATACAAGACACGTTCAAAAACATAAAAAATATGATAGCATTTGAAACCTGTGCCAGTTTCTTATTTTTAACTCCATGATACAATTTTTTAACTCTTGATTAAAAATATGTGCTTATTATTTATTATAATAATATTTTATAGAACATTTTAAAATTAAATTTTATAACCACTAGTTTTGGCTGCAACTTGTTTGCGCA